CAGAGGATGGGGGGCGGAGACAAAGGGACGGGGGCGGGGAAGGGGCCAGGAGATGGGGTGGAAACGGGGACAGGGGCCTGGAGGCAGGGGACTTGGCGACGGGCCTGGGGTACGGACAGGGTGAGGGGACGGGGCCACGGATAGGGGCAGGACACCACGGCGAGGAAGATGGCTGAGCAGGGACAGTCCTGGGTGTACATACGGTCCGGGGGCAGGGATGGGTGCGGGGGGCAAAGGCCGGGAGAAAGAGAGGGGGGGGACGGGCGGGGCTGGGATGAAGATGGGGGGAAAGTAGGGCAGAGGGAGGGTCTGGAGACAGGGGCAGAGGATGGGGCAGAGACAGGGCGCGGTGGTGAGGGACTAGGGCGGAGAGGAGGGTGGGGCGTGGACAGGGGCAGTGCCTGATGGGGCGTGAGGGTCAGGGCAGCCTTGGGCCAATGACGCAGGCTGGGGGCGAGGCCCAGGCAAGGTCCGGAGGCTTTAGACGAAGAGGATGGTGAGGACGGGGACAGGGTGGACTCGTGGCCAGGGACAGTGGGGATGGGGAGGATGGGGGCTGGGGTGAGGTTGTGCGGGGAGAACCCTGGGATGGGCCAGGGTGGGCGCCCCCGCAGAAGGTCTCCTCCCCGGCGGCATTCGCCTGTTTGTGCTGATGCCTGGCTGGTGGGATGCCGCTTGCAGAGCCCCCAAGGTGCTTTGGGGGCTGTAGGGAGTCCCTGGGTGGAGGTGGCTTAGAGACCCAGTGTGCAGGTGGACGCTCCTTCCCTATTTTGCAAGGGTAGACAAACGGCCTGAGAGGCACTTGGGGCCAGAAGGTTCCAGTCTGGCTCATCCGTCCGAAGTTCATGTGTGGGTCCGACATAAGCGGGAGAGGGTGGTTCAGTCACTGCCCTTGCTCAGATTCTACCCTCAAGTAGCGTTGGGCCAGAGCCTTGGACCCAGTGCCGGAGGCTTGGACTCAGTGCTCAGTCTGGGCCAGGACTAGCTGTGGCCCTGGTGACCAGCATTCATTGACCTGCACTGGGCTTATTGGTTGGACTGTCAAGACCAAGTTCATTCTCCTTTTCTTTCGAAGGAAACTTAGTACCCATGAGCTAGGAGTCGTGTGAATGTGTCTAGAAATCGTCTTTGAGTATGTTACACTTAGACTGTCCCACAGTCATTTCTCTGAAGTGTTAGAAGCACCAAGAAATACCTTAACATTCTGCGGCTGTAGATGATGGTGATGTGTGGGGGTGGGGGCTGCAGGCTCTCGTATTAGGAGCAGGTTCCCTGAGGAAGGCCAGACCAGGCAGCCTGACGTTCCTTCCTGCTTTTGCAGGAGCATCTAGTGGAGAAGTGAATCTATTTCAAGTGTGGGTTTCTGAAAGGAATCCAGTAGCACGTCTTTGTCAACAGCTAAGAAGTGAGCTGTTTCTCTTTCCCTCATTGGTAGTTACTTGAGAGGTGCTTGGATAGTTGGTTGTAGAGGGGCTTTGCACAATGAGCTTGGGTTTTAAACCCAGCATTGCATGCTGGTCCGAAAAAGTACCTGTCGTGTGCTGGGCAGGCAGCACAGTGCTTGAGGGCATGAGCTCCCAGCTGGATGCCTGGTCTCGGAGAACACGGGGGCCTTAGCAGTGCGCTGACTGGTGTGTGCCAGACACTGCCAGAGCTAATGTTGACCACGCACACAAAAATTTTTCTCATTTTCTAGGCTATTTTAGCGGCTCAGAGACGAGGAGAAGATGTGGAGACTTCTAAGAAATGTAGGTATTTGTGTTTGCACTAGCAAAATGAGGGTGTGCTCGGGGTTCATTTCCATAGACGTGTGGGTAGTGCCCCCAGGGGTGTCAGGGTGGCTGCCGCAGGTAAAGCCACTACAGAGCTGGGAAGTGTCTAGGATCTTATCAGAGCAGCTGTGGTCAGCATAGGTCAGGAGGGATCCTTCCCCCCACTTCCCGTAGCTGGGGGAAGATTCTGGGCTCCACGCTCTCAGGTCTGTGAAGTTCCTTGTACTTTGGGCGACCTGGCTTCCCACATCACCCTGGGCACGGGGCACCTGTGGGGCCTCGTTCCCGTTCTGAAGTGGCTTTCCTTTGAGTTTGTCGCAAACTGTCTCCTGTGCTCTTGTCTGACGCTGGTCCAGGGGCTGCTGGCCAGAACAAACAGCATTCGATCACCAAGAACACAGCCAAGCTGGACCGGGAGACAGAGGAGCTGCACCACGACCGGGTGACCCTGGAGGTGGGGAAGGTGATCCAGCAGGGCCGGCAGAGCAAGGGGCTGACGCAGAAGGACCTGGCGACGGTGAGCATGGCGGGTCCTCTCCTCCCAGGCTGTGGTCGGGTGGGCGGGAGGCCAGTGTTCAGGAAGCATGTGCGGCGCAGGCTCTGCCCGCCTGAGCCTCAGGCTTCAGTTGTCCTTGCCCCTGGGACCCCACAGGCCTCTGGGGAAGCCATGTGAGGCCAGCTGTAACCACTCACGTGACATGGCTTTGCACACGTGTGGACCCCAGAGCCTCCGAGAGCTGCTGTCCCCTACGGCCCTTGGCCCACGCTGTCTGGGGAGGCGGTGCCCTGGGCGTCTCAGCTGGGCATGGTCTAGTTTTGCAGCATCTCCTCGTTGAACTGACATGTACAAGGTATGTCTTTTCTTTAGAAGATCAACGAAAAGCCACAGGTCATTGCGGACTATGAGAGCGGAAGGGCCATTCCTAATAACCAGGTTCTGGGCAAAATCGAGAGAGCCATTGGTGAGTGTCCTTCGGGCCTTCGCTGGGTCTTGGCTGCTGTTGCCTGACCCGGCGCAAGGTGGCCACTCTTTGGGTGGGGTTGTGAGGATGAGGCTCAGGAAGACCCCTGGGGCACGGAATTCTCGGAGCCTTAAGAAAATTCCCACAAGTGAGTTGTGTCTCGGCTCCCTTTCCTTTCCAGTGTTCTCCACTGTCCCCCCTTTGCTGTTGGCCCATGCCCTCCTCTGAGCTGTGGACCCAGGGCTCAGTGGCCCTCCTGTCCAGGCACTGGCGTTCTTCCCCTGGCCTGGGTCACATGTCACATTCTGCTCCCGTGTGCCCGTTTGTGGTGTCAGTGTGGTACCCAGGGCGTGGGGCTCCCAGAGCACCCCGGTTTTAGTTCTAGGAAGGGACGTTCACTCTCTTCTGTTGAAGATTGGCAGGTGCAGGCTCTTAAAGGTTAGCCATATCAGTCGTGTCTGATCTGAGAGCCGGGCCAGGAGTGGGGGTGGTGCTCGGCCCTCCCCACCTCCCTCCTTCCTGTGATAGAGGTGGGGGAAGGGAGCTGGTGCTCAAGGGGGAGTGTGGACACCCGCTGCTGCTTCGGGCCTGATGGGTGGGGACGCTGCGGGGCCACCCTGTACCTTGAAGTTCCAGGGTGGGGGCTGCAGTGGTCAGTGGGCCGATGGCTCTTTCAGGCCTCAAGCTCCGGGGGAAGGACATTGGGAAGCCGATCGAGAAGGGGCCAAGGGCGAAATGAACACAAAGCCTCGAAATCAGTGCGTTCCGGCTGATCTTGTCTGGCTGGTTCCCCTTGGCCACCAGCGCCAGCGTGGGTCCCTTCACGTGGCTGAGCGGAACATGGGGTGTCAGCCCTGCCCGGGAACCCCTCTACTCATCCTTGCTGTCAAACAAACAAACAAAACCTTGCAAAGTGTGTGCTTCTCCTGATTTTTTTCCTTCTCTACCCCATCCCTCAAGTTTGGGTGTAAAACCCTGCCTTGGCGTCTATCCAGTTGAGGGGTGGCTTCTGGGGGGACTGTGAATGGGAGCACTTCACACAGGCGGGGTGGGGCAGGGTGGGGCGGGGTGGCCCGATGCGTCCGGAAGAGAGAGGTGCCGTCTCTAGTCTGGCTTTTAGAGAAGGTAATAAATGTGTGTTGTCCTTCCTGCTGATGGTGAGTCGTTGGTGTCCAGTCTCGTCTGTCGGGCCTCCAGCCGTGAGGAATGGAGTACCTGGCTGTGCACGTGTGGCTGTCACCCCTCCCCCAGGACATCCACGCCCAGTGGAGTCTTCCAGGCAGGGTGGTGTCCACATTTCCTATGTGAAAGATCGGAGCCTGGACCCTCCCTGGGTTAGAAAGCCTCAACTCTGTTATTAGATGAGGCTGGTGTGTGGGCGCACCAGGGACCACGACACACTTCTAGGGGGGCCGCCTTCACCCTCAGACCCTTTGACGCTCGGAGGGCAGGCACCTCAGCTTTGCCTTCCAGTGACCTGTTCAGGGGCATCATGGGAACATCAAGTGACCTGCTTCGAGATGCATCATTCCAGAGACCACTTGGACCTTCGTCCTGGGACAGTCGACACAGGGACCTTTATAATGGGACAGTGGACACGGGACCCTTACTGTGGGGTGGTGGACACGGGGGCCTTTGTTGTGGGATGGTGGACACGGGGATCTTTATTTGGAACTGTGGACACGGCAGGATCCCCCACCCCGAGCAGCTCCACACCATGTTGGGCCCGGCTAAGTGTCTGCTGCTCAGTCTGTTGCCTGCACCTGTGGGGTTTCTCTGTCCTCAATCCGATGCAGAATCACCCAGCGCAGCGGGGCTGGACAGGGTGGCTCAGATTCCCACCCGGTTGGGAACTGCAGGCTGGTCCAGGTGTTGGGGTGCCGGCCTTGCTTGGGGCCTTGGCTTCTCAGGGTCCTGCTGTGTCTGCCTCCTGGTGCCTCCAGCCCCTGTTTCTGTCTGGTGTGGCCTGCCTGTTTTCTGTCACCTGAGTCACTGAGACACGTGGGAGGTGCCCCCAAGCAGTCCACTCGGGCAGGTTGGGTGGGATCTGGGGTCCTGAGGAGCCCACTTTCTTGCTGGCAGGCAAGGCAGGACGCACAGATCTCGGCTGGTGAGCGGGGGCTGCCCTCATGGGCCAGGGTGTTTATTGTCGGGGTGAGGACCGTGTCCAAGGTGGCTGGCTGTGTAGGGTGGGGGATGTGGGGGCTCAGTGTGTCCTGGGGGTGGGGGGAGCTCCTGTGAGGAGTGGGGGTCTTCTCTGGGTCGTCTACTGGTCATTGGTGACTGACGCCGGCAGGATGACGCCATCCTAGGGGGGAGGAGAGGAGCTTGGTGACCAGTGGGCAGCGGGGCAGCCGGGAGGGTCCTGTCCCACCCCTCTCTGTTATCCGCACTCAGGCCAAGGGCCGGGCGCAGTGGCTCCTGCCTGCCCGTCCCCACCCAGAGGCTCCTACCGCGTTGAAGAGAATGTTGTCAAAGCCAGGGGTCACGGTCGCCGTCTCACCCTCAAAGGGGTAGCCCCCCTTCTTCCACAGCCAGTGCCGTCCCAGGACCACCAGGAGCACGAGGAGAAGGAGGGCGCCGCCAACCACAGCTGGCACAGACACGGCCATTGTCGTGTTCCCTGTGGGTGCAGGGCACATGACCTCAAGACTTGTGCCCTCCCTGTCAGCCCCACTCCCGAGGCCGAGGAGGATGCCTGGGGTGGCCCGTCCCTGCACCCGCAGCGGCTTTGGGGTTCACTCTCTTTAAAGGAGGGTCGCCGGTTGTGCCAACACAAGGCTCCAGGCTGAGGCTGGGACCTGGCAGACCGGTGGCTGCTGTCGACAGACCTGGGGACTCATGGCCCCAGGCTGGACTGCCCTCGTGGTGAAGCAGCAGCAACAGCAAGTGCTCCACGAAGGGGCCGGCTGCGGTCTCTTGTCTGACTGGGCCCCTCCTCCAGGGTCCAGCCCCATCCTGGAGCAGAGGCCTGGGGAGGGGGCAGTGCCAGCTGACACGGCTCCTGAGGGACCAGGCACAAGTGATGGTCCAGCCCAGGAGGGGAGGGGACAGTGGGCCGAGGGAGGGGACAATGGGCCGAGGTACAGGGCTCCACCCTGGCAGCTCTTCTGGCGTCTCAGGCCAGGAGCAGGGCTGCTGGCAGCCACATGGGCCACAAGCTGCCGAGCCCGTCAGAGGCCCAGGCCCAGGCCCAGGCCCAGAGCAGGGCCGCCGGCCTGGGCAGGGCTTACCTTGGCTGGGTGCAGGCAGCTGGCAGTGCTGCCCAGCCAGATACTCAATGTCATCCAGGGCAATAGGCCCCAGGGCTGGCTGGCCACCCAGAGTGGCTTCAAACACGATCTGACCGGGGGTGGAGAGAAGAGGCTGTGTAGACTCGAGGAGGACGGCCCCCGCCTGAGGCCTCCTGGCCCCGTGTAGCCTGGCCTCACCTGGAACTCCTCGGTGCTGGCCACCTCCACGTGGCTTTCCAGCCACTGGTGCCGCAGGCGCCCGCCAGCACCCCACACGGCCAGCTGGCCCCGGGCACTGCTCAGGAGCACCCTCAGCTCGCCCTTGTCTGAGAGCAGGGGGCCAGGGTGGGTCAGGTCCTCGACCCAGCGTGTGACGAGGCTGCCCCTGGGCCCTGCTCCGCCCGCTGCCCAGGCAGCCCACGCTGGCCCGACTCACAGAAGTGCTCAGGAAAGCCCACGAGGTACCAGAAGCGGAGGCAGGAGGCCTTGGTGGCGGGCAGAGGCTGACTGCGCAGCCAGGCTGCCCGGCCCCCAGGGCCCAGCACGCCGGTTTCGAAGAAAGCAAAGTGGCCTGGGAACGAGAGAGGGTGCGTGCCTGGCTGACCAGACGGAGCTGCGCCCCGGCTCTGTGGCCTCTGACCCTGATGGGAACCTGAATGAGCCAGGCTGGTTGCACCAGGTTGGGGCCGGGCATGTGCCCCTGGGTGTGTGTGTGTCTGGGACCCCTTCCCCAGCTCAGACCCACCTGCGTCCGTGCCCAGGGTGTGGTCCACGGGGGGCTGGGGGTAGCGGGAGGGTGTGGCTCCACTGCTCCAGTCCCAGCTGTACCCGCCCAGGCCGGGCCAGGGCAGATGGCTCCAGCCACACAGGCCAGCCTCAAAGTCACAGGAAGCTGCAAGATGCGGGCAGTGAGCAGTGCTGCCTCTGCCCCCCCATCCCTGGGGCACCATCCCTGCTGGGGGCTGGGGCCAGGCCAAGCGTCTTGGGGTTGGCACGGAACTGGTACCGCCCATGAGCCATAGCGGGTCCTGGGGCCTGGCAGGGGGCTCCCACCTGGCCGAGGGCAGGGCCCATCCTGGAGGAGCAGGTCGTCCAGAGCGATGTAGGAGCGCTCCACGCCGGCGGCCACTGCCTCAAACACCACCTGGGCAGATGGGGGCAGGGTAGCCTCACGCCCAGTCTGGAGCCCTTGGGGGTGAGGAAGGCCCCACCCTGTGCACTCACCCTCCAGGTCTGCTCAGCCTGCACGTCCACGCTGCCCAGGCGCCAGGCAAACCCTCCGTGGGCGCTGATGCTGAGCACCTGGTTCCTCTCGGCCTCCTCCACGTGGACCTGCAGGGTGCCTGCCACGCCAAGCAACCCGCCCAGATGAGCAGCGGTGGGGGAAGAATGGCCGCTCAGGGCCCCTGCAAGCCGGGGTCGGGGCTCCCAGGTGGCTTTGGCACAGGGCCTGTGGGGACCCCTCAACCTCTCCTCCCGGCCGCCTCTCACCTGGGTTTTGGAGGCTCAGGTGGTACCAGAAGGTCAGGCAGGCAGGCTGGGCCAGCGGCCTGTGCTCCTCTGAGGTCAGGGAGGCCACGTGGCCACGGGGCAGGGCCTGTGGGCTCATGTCCACTACCATGTAGTGCCCTAGGAGGTGCCAGGGTCAGCCTGCCTGCCCTGGCCCCCCGCCGTGCCCCCAGCCCCTTGGCCTCCTCCCCAGACCCGCACCCTGAGTTGTCTCTGTGGTGTGGTCAGCACGGGGGCCCCAGGCGGTGTGGCCTGTGGCACTGGCCTGGCGCGTCCAGAGGCCCTGGCTCCCAGTGGAGAAACCACAGGCTGAGTCCTCGAAGGAGCAGCGCTTGGGGGCCCAGCAGGGCCCAGGCCGCACAGCCACGTCGTCCAGCGCCATGGTGCCGTGGTAGCCATCCCGGAGGCCCTCGAACAGCAGCTGGGAGCGGAGGGTGTCAGCCTGCTGGGGCCTTGCCCTACCTCCCACCGCCCGGGCACCTGACCTCACTTGGTATTTGGTGCCGGAGTCCAGCTGGTGGTGGAGGGTGGCCCAGGCCTCATGCCAGCGGTTGCCGTGGGTGCCAGACCGGGACCACAGGAGTGTGTCTGCCTCCCCATCCTGTCTCATCACCAGGCGCAGTGTCCCTAGAGGGAGGGCGGGGTTTGGAGGGGGCCAGACCCCAACTTCTGATGGCTTCCCGCCCCCTCCAGAGCCCCTGAGGGGCCAAGAGACAGACCTCGAAGCCCTGCGGGGTCACTTACCGACCTGGGGCCCGTAGAGGTGGTACCAGAAGGAGAGACACTGCTGAGGGGCCGCCGGCACCTGGGGCTGGGTGAGCAGGTGGGCACCAAGGCCCCGGGCTGGGGGATCTGTGGGGTCCAGGAGCATGAAGTAGCCTGCAGGGGGGACTCAGGGGTGAGCTGCAGATACACCAGGCTCCAGGAGGGCACGGCCCAGTGTGAGAGTGGTGCCCCCATCCCCATGTCTGGGAGCCCCCTGAGCTGAGAACCTCCCTCTGAGTGCCCCCCGGGGTATGGGAGTCCCCCCAGTCTGGGAGCTGCCCCCCCCGGTCTGGGCGCCCCATTCTACCTTGGCCTGTGGTGTGATCATACCCAGGGCCACGGCTCTCCATCCGGCGCCAGTGGGCATCTGTGAGGTGGCCGGTGTGCCAGCCGCACGTGTCCCGCTCAAAGTTACAGGAGACCTCTGGGGGTGGGGCTGTGGGGTCAGCACATTCCGCCCCAGCCCCGCACCCCTCCTGAGTCCTGACAGGGTGGGGAGACGTCCTTGGGAGTGGGGGCGCCCCGGGACCCCTCCAGGTAGTCTGGGTGGGAGGCCCCTGGGTGGGGACTGGGAGCGACGGGAAGGACCTGTGTCTGTCTTGCTGGCCACTGTGGAGCTGCAGTCCTTCATGATCACATTGTCTACCCCGGCGCCCTGCTGCCCAGGGCCGTCCAAGTCCACCAGGCCGACAAACTCCAGCTTCATGGGGGGCATGAGGAGGGGGCTGTTAAGTTGGGGCTGTTAAGTCAGGACTGGCTCTGTGCCCCACACCCCAGGCTGCCTTCCTCACCCGGAAGGGCCGGCGGCGTGCCCCAAGAAGGACCGTGTCCACCTTCCAGCTTCCACGGCTGCTGCTCGGGGCCTGCCACACCAACTCGCGGTGGCCGTCCTCCACCACGACCAGCGCCAGGAAGCCTGCCGAGGGGGCCGCCGTGGGTCACCCGGCCTGACCCCCCCCCCACCTTCAGGGCACACCATGGGAGCTCTCACTAGCCCCAGGGCTGGGCAGAGGTCCGGAGGGATGGCGGTACCTTGCGGGTGACTCTGAAAGTAGTAAGCCATGTGGAGTTCACAGTGGGGGCCTGAGGGGCCCAGGGCGGGTGTGAGGACCCGGGCCTCTGCTCTCAGCTGCCCCCAGGCCCTCTGCATGGACAGGAAGTGCCCTGGGGAAGAGCGAAGTCACTCAGAGCCCATTCCTTCCAGGGACCCCCAACTCAGAGCCCCTCCCTAGTGAAAAGAGGCAGGGCGGGGAACCCCTCTGGGGTGCATCTCACAGGCAGGCTCCAGGCTGCCCTGGGTGGGGGACTCGGGCCTCACCAGCAGCAGCCCCGCTGGCATCGGTGCTAGGGCCTCGGCTCTCCTGGGCCAGGAGATGCCCCCACTGCAGCCGCCCCACGCTGGCGTCCTCCCAGCCCCCAGCCGTGGGGGATTCAAAGTCCGTGGTGCCTGCAACAGCAGGGCCCCCACTCAGCTCTTGCAGTGGGGAGTGTCTGGAGGAAGGGAGGAACCCCGCCGGGCTCTGACTGCCCCTCACCACATTCCTGCTCGTCCTCGCCCCCTATGCACTGCTGCTGGAAGTCACAGAGCTGCTCCGGGGGGACACACAGTTCCCCACAGGAGAGATGTCCTGGTTCGCAAAAATCCCGGGGCTGCAGGCTGGGCGGCTGGGGCCAGGGTGCTGGGGCCCAGAGCCCCGGAGGCAGGCCAGACACCACTGTGGGGGCAGAACTGGGGTCAGGCTGGGGTAGTGGAGGTGGGGGGTGCTGTGCTTCTCCTGGCAGGGAGGGGCTTAGCAGGCTCACCAGGGACTGGTTTGCAGTGGTCCGACAGGATGAGGTCATCCAGGCCCACGACGCCCCCTGGCCCTGTCTGCCCAGCCAGAAGGATCTGAGGGCAGAGGGGGCTCAGGGGGCGCCCCAGCACCCCTCTGTCATCCCTGCGGTCTGCTCCCTCACGCCGTCTCCCCGTCGACCCACACCGTCTACGTCGTCTGTCACTGGACACTCTCCGTCACCACCCCCACAGCCCTCAGGAGGGGCTCCTCCTTCCCTCCCGCCTGTTCCCACAGCTCCTAGACAAGCCAGCCGGCCTCCTGCTGAGACAGCCTGGCCAGCCCCATGCCCGGCCCCTGAGCTCCCTTCCCCTACTCTCGGACGCCCGGACCTCCCTGCCTCCCCCCACCACTGCCCTCGCCGGCCTCACCCGGAAGGGGTGCTTGCTCTGGATGTCAACCCGGTCTCGGACCCAGGCGGCCCCCAGCTCTCCGTGGCGCCTGCGCAGCAGGACGGGGGCCCGAGGGGCGCCAGGGCTCTGGCTCTGCAGGAGCAGCTGGAGGCTGCTGGCCTCGGAGCCGTGCAGGTAGTGATAGAAGATGAGCTGCAAAGGGACCCAGGATCAATGGAGACTCTCTGGGGCCCAGGCAGCAGGGACAGGCAACCCTGCATCCCCCCCTCTGCCTGCCTCACCGAGCAGTTGTGGGGGCCTGAGGCTTGGAACTCGGGGCTGGAGAGGATAGCGGGGGTGCTGGGCTCAGCCACGGAGACCAGGAAGGAGCCTGGGGAGACAGCAGGCGTGGGCCGGGGTGGCTGCGGGTGTTGTGGGCTGGGGCAGCAGCCAGGGGTCCCCGGTGGGCCTCACCCTGCGCACTGTTCCTGCTGTGGTCGCGGCGTGGCCAGGCAGGGCATTGGGGGCCGCTGGCGCTGTGGTTCCGGGCCCAGCCCTCCGAATGGTTCCACAGGCCCAGGCCCGTCTCAAAGTTGGTGGCCATGTGGTGGCCTAGGGTGGGAAGTGCGGCTCAGGCCACCGAGCTGGGCCTCTTTCCTAGGTCCCAGGCCGTATGGCTCCAGCTCCAGGTGGACACTAGCTATCCCCCCAAGAAGGACCGCACCAAGGGACAGGCCCTCCCGGATTCTCTGGATGATTCTGCAGCCCCCAGGCCGGCTCACTGCAGGTGGGAGTGTCCTCATCTGAACCGTCCCCACAGTTGTCCTCGCCGTCACACAGCTGGTGGGGCTCCACGCAGGCCTTGTTCTGGCAATGGTGATGGCCCAGGGGGCAGCGCGACTGGGGGGCTAGGGTGGGGGAGGGTTAACCCATTACCGTGGCCCCAAGACCCAGGGGCCGGGGCAGCTGTAGGGGAGGCTCAAGACCATCTGAGCTGGGAGAAAGCAGTGAGGGGCTCCTGCTAACCCACTGCCCCCTAGGTGTGGGTCCACCGCACAGGGGCCTTACTAGGCAGTCCACAGCCCCAGAAGGCCACGTCGTCCAAGGCCACAGTGCCCCTGTGGGTGGCATTTCGGGTGGCAGAGAAGGTTACCTGAAGAGAACGGGGCCCTTAGGACCTTGGTCAGGGCTCAGACCCTCCCTGCTGCCCCCACCATCCAGGCCAGCCCCCAGCTCACTCGGAAGTCGCCCTGGATGCGGCCGGTGGCTACCACCAGCTCTTGCCAGCCTGGGCCCCAGGGCCCGGAGCTCTGCCACAGGGTCAGTGTCTCGGCGCTGTGGGTCAGCTCCAGCTGCAGCTCAGCCACATCTGCAGCAGGGGGCCCCGGGGCAGCTTAGGCCCCCGGTGGCTCCAGCCTGCTGGCTGTGCCCTGTCCCAGGACACCTTGCCCCTCCCTTGGGAAGCCCGCCGAGTCTGCAGCAGCCTCCCTTCCTTTCCTGGTCTCTCCCCTCTGAGCCCCCGACCCGGGTTGTGGGTCCTGGGCATGCACCTCCAGAGGCCACGTGGTACCAGAGCCTCAGCTCACAGGTGGGGGCTGCCTCGTGCAGGGTTGGGGAGCGCAGGGCTGCGGTGGATGCCTCCTTCCCCTGGTGGGTGCCAACAGCCACGTACCAGCCTGGTGGGCCGAGAGATCAGGAGACGGGGCAGGAAGCAAAGAGCCAAGGGGGTGGCATGGAGACCCCCCCAGGCCTCACCCAGGTCGGTGCCAAGAGTGTGGTCCACGCGCGGCCCTGGACCCTCCAGTGCAGCTCCTGCCCGGTCTCGGAGCCAGCTGTAGCCGGAGGTGCTGATGTCCCGCCAGCCACAGGAGTCCTGCTCGAAGTCGCAGACGAAGGGGGTGCCCTGGGTGGGTGAGGCCCTGTGGTAACCTGGGAGAGCGGGTGGTCAGGTGAGCTGCCCACAGGGGACTGGCCCTGCCCACTGCCCCCAGCCCTGGCTCACCACACTGCATCTCGTCGGAGCAGTCCCTGCAGTCACACACGAAGTTGCACACAGCCTTGCTGGGGGTCCTGCAGTGGTTGGGGACCCAGGCCCAGCCTGGGGACCCTACTGCCAGCAAAGAGACAACCAGGTGGCCTGGGGCAGGGTGACCATCCCATCCTGGTTTGCCTGAGACTGTCCCATGTTCCAGAAACCCCTCAGACCAGGGCAGCCCAGAAGGTTGGTCACCCTGCTTTGTGGCCCAGGCCAGGAGGTTGGGCAGGGAGGGGTCTGGGTCCGTGGTTGGGGGGCCTGGGACCCACAGAGAGCTGCCAGCTGGGGGCACCCTGTCAGGGCCAAGCAGAGCACCTCTGGCCCCAGAGAGGCTGCTGCAAGTCAGGATGGGGGATGTGGGCATGTGCGGGACCACAGGCCCCCGCCACGGGAGACCTCCTGGGGAAGGGAGCAGGAGCCCAGCAGGGAATTGGAGGGGCTGCCAGGAGGGTGCCCCCCAAAGGAATGGATCAGTGGGTGGTTCAGGACTCTCAGGCTCCATCCGTCCCAGAGCGGCAGACTAGCATCTGCCTACAGGGCCCTCTTGCCTGGGGGCCTGGGTGGAGACTGGGGCCAGGGAAAGCAGAACTCTTGCCCCTTCCCCCGTGGGACAACCCCAGGACCCCAAGGGATCGGTGTGGGCCTTGCACCACCCCTTCCCTGGAGGCCCAGCACCTGAGCCCCTGGCCGGCCCTGACTCAGGAGCCGGACCCGACGACTCACCCAACAGCAGGACCAGGGCAGGCAGGAGGTGGCCAGGCAGAGGCATGGTGTGAGGCCAGAGGGAGTGGGGCCGAGGGCCAGTGCTTCCTGAGGGGCAGCCTGGTGGGGACTTTGCCAGGTTTTCAGCCCGTGGCCCTGCAGGCTGACTCTGCTCTAACTGGAGAGTGGGGGCTTGGCCCCTTCTGTACCTGTGGCCCCTCAGCGAGCCCCACCCTGTGCTGACAAGCATGAACATCCGGCTGTAAATGCATCCAGGAGAGGGGCCCCTGGCCTGGGCTGGCTCCCACCTGCCCAGCTCCTTCAGACCGAAGGTCAGGCCCTGGTGGGGGCCCCCATGGAGGCAGTGCTGGGGTGGCAGCCACTTCTCTTGGGCCTCAGTCCCCATGGGGCTGTGAACAGGAGCCCAGCATGGGCAAACCGCTGCCCTGCCTCGGGGGCCCCTAGCAACCTGGGCGTCATCCTTCTGTGTCCCTCAGTCTGTGGGCTCCTTTTGCTTACTCACTTATAAACGATGCTCATTTATTCTCTGACAACTGTCCTGAGCAGCATGGGCCGGGCGCTGCCAGGCACAGGGTCCAGATGAGCCTGGGGCCTCTGGTTCTCCCCACACAGACCCCCAGTGGAGGGTACAGAACAGGCTCTGCCTGCAGTTTACGACTGTGGGACCTCGGGAGCCTGTCTCACCGAGCCTGTTTCTCATCTGTAAATGGCGGTCATGATAGCACCTGCCTGGAGAGGCCACCGTGACGCCCCAGCAAGCTCACAGGAGACGCGCACAACAAGATGGCAGCTGCGACGAGGGGCACCCACGCTCATGGCGAGCCACGGGGATAGCCGTACCTCAGCTGCGCCTGGCTCTGCCCTCCCCCCATGCCACTTGCACTCCCCACAGCCCACCCCCGCACAGCCCTGCACCGAGAAGAGGGGAGGAGCGTCCTGGGAGAGGGGCTCCCAGCTCCGAGTCTGAGGCCCTGCCTGTTCAGTTTGAGTGGGAGCAGGTGGCTGCAGGGCAAGGGCCACGGGACCTGATCTTGGAAGCAGAGAGTGGTGGGCCACTTCACGTGTGACCTCAGCTGGCAGATCACTTGGGGACACTGATGTCAGCTGACCTGCCTCACACACTGGGATGGCACCCCTGCCTGAGCCAGCCCAGTGGACCAGGTGCTAGCTCCTTGTGCAAGGGCTTGTTGGGCCTCCTCCCAGATGTCCTTGGGGACAGCAGCCGTGTGGAGGAGCAATCAGGCCATAAACCAGGCAGCAGCTCAGGGGCCCCGATCAGACCCCACAGGGCTGAGTGTGCACTGCCACTCCCTTGGCCTCCTGGGTGAGGGGCAGCCAGGAGGGGACCCACTGCCCCCAGGGCTTCCTCTGCCTCTCTGCTACCCACCCGCTCTAGTCAGGGGTCCGGAGGAGTGACTAGGGGCAGAGAAGCCAAGACACACAGCATCTAGAGACCAGCAGGAGTGACAACGCTTTTAATTTCCATGGGTGAGGTCAACCCAGGCGCTGGGCCAGGCTGATGTCCGTCTCTGAGGCCCAGCCAGGGTGGCACAGTGCCAGGGAGTGCAGCCCAGCTCCTTGGGACGGGGCCTCGAGGGCAGAGTTCTGAGTGGGCTCAGGAGGGTCTCAGTAACCATCGTCCGCCCAGGTGACCTCGTAGTCAGGGTACCTGGCTTTGATCTTCTCGGTGGAGACGGAGTGCTGGGCGCGACCGTAACCCTAAAGAGAGAAGGCAGCTCTTACAGCCCTGCCCTGGCTCTGGGTGTCCCGTCAGCACTGACACCCAGGAGCCAGCTCCAGGAGGGGCCCCAGGGTGGAGCCGAACACTGTCACCCCTGACCCCCCAGGGAGTTCTTCTGGGGAAATGGGGCTCCCAAGGTGAGCAGACCTTGACAGTGGGCCTGCTAGCCCGAGGCCCAGGCTATTCCAGGTGCCAAGAAAGGCTGCGTAAGTGCCCCTGTGTATCCACTGGCAACTTGGTGAAGGTAGAGTGAGGGGCCTCTGAGTGTCACCCCAGTGCTGACTGCCTCAGAGAGCCGGAGGACAGCCACAGCCCAGCCAGGCCTCTTGGGGTGGAAACATGCCTTGTGGAGAATGGGGGAGCTACAGGCCCTGGAGCCAGGGTTCTACAGCTGAGATGGGTCAGGGGACCCCGGCACCCTGGGTCTCCATGTGGGGCAGTGGATGCTTTTGAAAGCGGGTCAGGCAGCTCGCAGGGTGCGTCTCTCACAGCCAGGACCGGGGCCCTTGGCCGCTCAGGCCCAGGGCTGCAGGCTCACCATGGAGTAGCCGTACACGTGGATCTTCTTGTCCTGGCTCTGGTGGGAGATGCGCCCGCCTCCCAAGCACTCGCAGCCATAGCCCTTCTTCTGCATCTCGCCCGATACCTTGTCGAAGATGTCGGCTGGGATGGGGAAGGTGGCTCAGCACAGTGGTCCTCGGAGGGCCAGAGCGTCTGAAGCCCCAGCTCTGAGCAGCTCCTTCACCAGGAGAGGAGCCGCTCCAGGCTGGGACCCGATGATAAGGGAGGAGGGGGCGGCCGGGGCGCTGGGACTACGAGACAGGGGTTAGGTCCTGGCAGCCCCTTGCCCTCCAGGACCCTGAGTTTTCTGGGTCAGCCCAAGACTAGACCTGGTACAGGGTCACCTCCTGCTATGCCCCCTCAGCCCCGCCCACAGATGCCGGCAGCCCCGCCCCGGGCCCTCAGCCCTGCCCACAGCTGTGGCCGGCCCCGCCCACAGACGCCGGCGGCCCCGCCCCGGGCCCTCAGCCCCGCCCACAGGTGCCGGCGGCCCCGCCCCGTTCTCACCGTGGTACTCGGCCCACTTGTAGCCGCGCACGATCTCTTTGCTCTCCCCGGCCGGGGCCCCGGAGGGCGGCGCCGCACGGACTCGAATCAGCACGTACTTGAAGACGCCTTCGGAGTCGATGTCCACATCGGGGATCTGGGCGAGGCCCGCCTCCGCCATGTTGCCGGAGCACGCCCGCCCCTGCAGCCCGCGGCCCTTCCCCCACGCGACCCGGGCTGCGTCGACAGTGCGGAGGGCGGGCTCTGAGGTCCGTGACCAGTCCCGCGGGGCCATGCTGCCCGGGCCCGGAGCCGCAGCCAATCGTGCTGCCGACTCGCAGCACCGGCGGGCCAATCGCTATCCAGCTCCTTGCTGTCCTCACTCCGCGCCGGTCCCACTTAAAGGGGAACGTGGAACCGGGAGTGGGTGGTGATTAAATCCAGCGGACGGAAAAGCTCCTGTCCAGCGGGGTCGGGGCAGGTGCCTTTGGAAAGGATTAGGCGGCCCGTGGGACGCGCGCCGGCTCTGATCCCTCCCCTACCGTGACCGAAGGTCCCCTTCCCCACCCCCCCCGCCTCCCCACGGTGTCCGAGGGTCTCCCTCCCTGTCCCCTACGATGTCCGAGGGGCTCCCTCCACGTGCCCCAACCGTGTCCGACGGTCTCCCCGCCGCGTCCCTCCACCGTGTCCGAGGGTCTCCCTCCCCGTCTCCCACCGTGTGCGAGCGTCTCACCCCGCGTCCCTCCACCGTGTCCGAGCGTCTCCCTCCCCGTCCCCCACCGTGTCCGAGCGTCTCCCCCCCGCGTCCCTCCACCGTGTCCGAGGGTCTCCCTCCCCCCGTCCCCCCACCGTGTCCGAGGGTCTTCCTCCCCGTCCCCCCCCCGTGTCCCACTCCCCCACAAAATGAGGCAGCAATGGCTACATTCGAGTTGTTTTACTTGTTCAAAAGCGCTCGCCCTCTGGAAATAATCCCGGTCCTGGTCGTTCCTGGCCGGCCAGCAGGCCAGCAGGCCAGCAGGCCCTCAGGCGTGGGGCCGAAGGCGGAGGCCCCGGAGCAAAGGGCGCGGCAGCCGGACTTGCGAGGCCACAGGGGCGGGTGGGACAAGCGGGGCGCATGGCAGATGTAAACACGCGGGGCGAAGGCGGGCGCGCAGGCGTGTGGGGAGGGAGCAACGGGGCGGGGCACGGGCGGCGACGAGCGCCAGGAACGAAGCTGTGGGGCGCGCTGGGGGCTCCAGGAGGGCTTTTGCGGGCGCCCGGTCTCGCCCCTTCTCCCGGTCACTCGCCCTCCATGGGGCCCGGGCCGGGGCCAGGGTGCACCTCAGGGGAGGTCGGGGGTCAAGGGCTACCGGATTGTGCGCTCCCGAGGGCAGGAGCCCGGCCGCCAGCACAGGGCACGGCCAGAGAGCGCCCGCGGGGGCGTTTGTGCAGTCGCCCCACACCCCCCGGTGGCCAACTAGTTCGCTCCCGCACCCGCTCCCACCCTCGCTTTTCCCCGCCCGGCTCCCAACTGGGAACGCCCCTCTGCTGTCCTCCCTGTGCCAGCCGGTAGGAGCCCTTCCTGAACCGGATCCTGCCGTTCGCACCACCGTTCTGCCCTGGCACCCGCATAAGGCCATCCTGTCTGGTGTGGGCAGGTACCCTGACTCACGCCCTGCCAGGTCTCAGCTCTGGGCCGGCGCCAGGGCAGCGCTGCCACCCACACCTCTGCTGCCCCCGCCCGATTCCTCCTCCCCTTTAGAGTTTCTTGCGCCTTGGCTGAAGATCTCCGAGTACCTTTCCACGGCTGCTTATCCCAACCCCTCTTGTAGGGCCCAGGCCAGGGCGTCGGAGGGGAGGGGACAGCAGGGCGGGCAGCATCGTCCACGTGCGGGTCCGGCTGTGCCCTCTCCAGCGGGGGCTGGGGCCAGCGAAAACGCACTGCGCAGGGCCCCCGCCGGCCCTGCCCACGAGAGCAGGACGCACTTGGCCCGCAGACACACCGAGGCTAGTCAAGTGTCCCCCAGAGAGGAAAGGCGTCCAGGGAGGAGGCACTACAGACCACAGGAGGCTGGTGGAGGGCGTGTTTGAAGGGACGGGACTAGGCTTTGGTGAACTCGGGCTCCTGGACCCGGGCGAACCAGGGTTGGGGAGGTTCCAGGGAGGCCCTGCGACGACAGCGGACGGACGGGCCGGATTTGCGCGATGAGGTCTGCAGTAGTGACCCCTCCGCGTGAAGGCAGGATCGGGCAGTCCTCAGGCCCACCTGACCTCCCAGCCGGGAGCACCAAGCGGCCAAGGACCCGCCTCTGGGGAGGCCGGAGAGCGAGCTGGGCGAGTGAGAGAGTCGGCGAGACCGGTCGGGGGGAGTTGCAGGAAGAGGGTAGGGAAAGGCGGGGCATATGGACAACGCCGTGGCGCGGGACGTGGGAGGAGCTTGCTGCCAGCAGGGCGGGGACTGGGGAAATTGGAGGCGGGGCTTCGGGTAGGCCAGGGCGGGGCTCAGGGTGGGCCCTGGGTCGACTGGGCAGGGTCTGAGCGGGCTGGGCAGAGCCTCAGTGGGCTGGGCAGAGGCCGGGGGTGGGCCCTGGGTGGACTGGGCGGGCCGTGAGTGGGCTGGGCGGGGTCTGAGAGGGCTGGGCAGAACCTGAGTGGACAGACTGAGTCCTGAATAGACTGGGCGGAGCCTGAGTGGGCTGGGCGGGGTCTGAGCGGGCTGAACAGAGCCTGAGTGGACGGAGCTGGGTCCGCAGACTGGGCGGGCCCTGAGTGGGTTGGGCGGACCTCGGGGGTGGGCCCTGAGTGGACGGGGCGGGGCCTGAGCAGAGCCTGTGCGGGCTGGGGGGAGCTCCGGGGTGGGCCCCGGGTGGATTTGGCGGGGTCTGAGTGGGCAGGTGGAGCTCGCGAGTGGGCCCTGTGTGGACTGGGCGGGCCCTGAGCGGGCTGGGCGGAGCCCAGGCGCGCCCCCTCAGCTACATGATGTCGTCCAGTAGGTTGGCGCTGGCCACCCAGTCGAGCGCGCGCGGCTCAGAGGCGGCCATGATCATGCACATGAAGGGCCGGCCGGTGCGCCGGTCCGTGGGGTAGATGGTGGTGGGCGTGAAGCGCCGGTTGGCCTCGACGAACTCGCAGAGCTGCTCGTAGACGCGCGGGAACTCGTGGCGCAGGAAGACACCGCGCAGCCGCAGCTCGCGCTGGATGTGGATGAAGGCCACCTCCCGCGCGCGCCGGCCCGCCTCGCCGTCCTGGTCCAGGCCCGCTGTGCCCGGCGGCGGCGTCAGGATCAACGTCTCCATGTCCGGCTCGCGGCCCCGCGCTGGGGGTGGCCGCGCCGGGCTGCCAGCCGCCAGCGCCACTTTGGCGAACTTGCGCACCGTGGGCCCTG